CCCTTTCCCTGAACTTGTAAATTGTTGGCTTAGTTTAGCTGAAATTGGCTAAGAGAAAGTCCTCAAAGCTACTGAATTTCTGTGCTTTTCATGTTAAAAGTCTGCTGTTGGGTAAAGGGTTAATTCAGTTGTCCCCACTGAAGGAAGAAGCATGAGAAAGCAATGAGTTAAGAGGTATGAGAGCAATTCGTGTTAGGCACCAGAGAACCCACGCAGGGTAGAGCCGAGATGCGGGAAGCGCTGGGTTGCGCCTGCACCTTACTAGACACCAGAGCATCCAAACACGGGGCGTAAATCCACGTGATTCTCTTAGTTCTGCTGCTTGTGGGACCACTTTCTTTCAGAGTAAGTTGTCTAAGCGTTGGTCTGCTAAGGGGGAGCCTGTGGAAATGCACCTCCTGTGCCCTGGGTCAAACGCAGTACGTTCTACCTAAACCTCTGGGCTGGTATTACCCGGGTGGAGCTTATTCTTAGCGTTGGGCTTATGGGTTGGGAATTCAGCGCAGCTTCCTTCCTTTTTCTCGTGGTTTGTTTTGTTGTGTGTGTTTGTGGGTGGGTTTTTTTGTGGTGTGGTGTGGGTGGGGTTTTTTTTTGTTGTTGTTGTTGTTTTTTTTTCTCCTGCGACTTCCCAGCAGCCAGCAGGGCGATATGTCCCTTCTGGGTACTGATGAACCAGGCCTACCATGGTATCAAAACACTGCTGGAAAACGTCTGTGCCAAGAGCTAGGCAAAAATAGCACAAATAAACCTGCAGTGTGTGTGTTTTTTTTTTTTTTTTCCTTTTTTTCCCCCCCTAACCTCCAGACTTCTTATTTTAAGTATGGGTTACTGAAACCGAGTACCTCCTTTAGGTTTTTTTTTTTTTTTTGGGGGGGGGATGTATATTTTTGCAGCGTTGCCACACTTAATAACTTAATTTCAGCTTTTTGCCTTGAAAATACCTAGAATAGGACAGAGCAAAATCATCTGTTGTGTTTTTAAATGATGAGCTCTCATATTGACCTTCTACCTCCTTTGAGCTTTTAGAGTTAATTTCTGAAATGTTCCTTCACGACAAGGAGAACAAGCAAACTCCCTATATGAATTAATTTGGTATTCTGGCCCCTGGAGCTAGGTATTTTGTAGAGGGGAGGAGGAAAAAGGGGAGAGATAAGTTTTGCAACATTTTTTTTTTTTTTTTGTGAATTTAGCAATAGCAAGGAACTGGGCTTTTCCCCACAGTCCCACCAGCAGCGACCCCTCGCTGGATGAAGTTTATCGTAGCCCAGATTGCAAATACTCTTTCCACAGATCAGCGGATGACCGCCAGTCTCCCAGTAAACCCACAGATGCTGCTAAACTTGTCAGCTTCCTATTTTTAGCTGGTATCTTTTGGAGCCTCTTGGGAAATAAACGAAACGTTGGTCTTGCTAAATATGTCATCTCGCCAATCACTGGGGCGCTGGCGTTGTTGCTACGCAGAGGGCGATAATGTCGTTTTTCGAGAACGGCTGCAGCTCTGAACAAACTCCAGCACTTCAGAAAGGCAACAAGAAAAAAAAAAAAAGAGATCCAACCTTCAAACTGCTGAAGGGTGACGGAGACGTGGCTGCCCCATCTTGTCCCTTGCCCGGCCCCGTCTTGTCCCCTGCCCCAGGGCATCCTCGCTGTCTGCCCGCTGGCAAGCAAACGGCTGAAGAGTCTTATGGCCCGCAAGGTCTGGAAATGCACAGAGAGCATGAGAGCAGGGAAGTGAGCCTGCTTGAGCGCCGCTTCCCTGTCTCCAAACACTTTGAAGCACCTTGAAACCGTGGCAATGGGCACCGTGCAGGGTGTTTTGGAGAAAAATGACCCTTCCCCACGTAGAATGCATATTTCTGAATAAGTGGGGGGAAAAAGGGGTTGCAGGGAAGACGAAAGGTCTGCTTTCCTGCCCGAGTCTGGGATCCTTATCTCTACCTCATCAGCCCCGGTGGCCTCCATGCCCTCAAGCACTGAATTCCAGACTTTCATGGCTCTCCTCTCTCTTCCCCCAGAGGAACAAGGTCCCAAACCCACGCATCTCCCTGCTTCTGGGTGTGCTTGGGGCCTTTCCGGGGAGACTGGGATTCCAGTTGCCCCTCGCTCTTCAGCCCCCTGCGAGCGGAGAGGGAAGCCCTGGGGCAAGGGAGGAGAGCTGGGGACTAGGAGAAGGGAGGGATGGGACTTCCTCAATGCCTTTTGCTGCAATTTAATCCCCAGACCGTGCGGAGAATCATTTTTCCCTTTGTCTTTTCAGCTGCCTTTGAGTTATTTGGAGGTTGCCCTCTGTCCCTGCAGCCTGTGACGAGGAAATCTCCTTCGTAGGAGACGTGCGGAGGCTGAATTTGTCTTTGGTGAGCTCAGTCATAACTTGCCCGGTCTGGGCACCGCAGACGCGTGACACGTTTCTCCGCAGAGCTGAAGAGAAACAATAACGTGTCCACCACACAGACACCCCTAAACCTCTGCGTATGGAGAGCTGCAGTAATACAGCCCGTCTGTGGCTGCTGTTTCCCTTTAAATTCCCTAAAAGCCGTTCGAGCTTCCAATTGCTTGCTGAAACATTGATGTGGAGACCTGCCAGCACTGGCAGCCTGCCAGGGTTTCCATGTCTACCAAGAATGTT